TAAAAAAGTTAAAACACAGATATTAGTTTCTCGCGCATGCATACTATACGACCAGGTGTTTGCAAGGCAATGCTCTCTATATAAATGCTCAATGATTTCCTTCTTGTTTATTACACTCTATGCTGAAGCTGTCTTTGTCGATGGTAAAAAAGGCAATAAGAACGTTACATCACACACAGCATTGCCAAGCTTGGTTTGCAATCGCGGACTTTGGTTCGCAATGGAGGTTTGCAATTGAGGGCTTGTAACTTGAGAACACGTTTTTGAGGGTGAATCAGTGTGACCCATCGCCATCACCTGGAAATAGTGGGCAGCCATGGCATAACTGCTACAAAGCCATTTGGAGGAAATTGGTTCAGGGGTATTAAACCAACTGGAGTGCTTGTGCTCTACTCCATTGGGCGCCATACTACAGCTTCACGACACTGGCAATTTAAAGGTCAGCTAAGTGCCATGTGCTGTGAGGCAAATTAGGGAAAAACCTACAGGCGCAGCTTCGCATCTGACCATCTGTAGCCGTGCATCTGTCACCAACAAATACAATAATTAACTGTAGTCCCGTCTGCCTGCAGTAGAAACGTCAGTGGGAATTGCAGACCAAGATGATGTATGTACCGGCTCCCATGTAACATCCGATGTCAGCATTTTGATAATGACAAGCGATTGTAAAGAGCAGGTGGTATTTTTGCCGTGCGCCTGATTGCCCGTTCGCTTACCATGCATCATTTTGCGATTGAGCACATTAAGCCGATTTTGACAAAACTATGCAGTTTGGATAATTTTCGCAGTGGGTGTTTTCTGTAAATTTCATGACATTTGCACAATTAATCTAAATTATTATGAACATGAAGGAAGATAATATGCTTCGTATTTGGTTTTATTCCAATTGTGTTATATATCAACATTTTTTCAGCTTAAAAAAACATCATAATATAGTTAATTAGTGCATATATAAAACATTGCAGTAATTTCTTTTCTATTGATATCAGTAATTGTTATACTGGTTTATTTGAATATTTTAGAACGCTTAAGATTGTCAATGTTTATAGTTACACGACAGACATCCAAATGCATAATTATTCAAAACATTAATAAAAGTTCACATTTTTTACTCACATTTTTTAAAATAACCTTTGTTATAACAATCCACGACTATATGAAAACTTCCCTATGCCCTGTTGGTCATGGAAAGGTTGGGTTTTTGTTTTAACATACTTCACCATGCTCGTTAGTGCAGGTTGATGAAGGGGGTACCGAGGATCAGTGTAGATATCACTCACCACTGATGTTAACTGTGACCAAGAGTCAGGTTCAGGTTGTCAGGTTCAAAGTGCAGCACGCACTAACTACTGTGCTACCAAATAACTGTACAGTATTCATCGTTCTTCTAAGTATAACTTGCCAGATAGATTGAAATGAAAGGCAGAATATAGAGCCATGTGCATTTATTTCCATTGAGAAGCTGCAGGTCTTTGTCAGGTTTTGGTCGAGCAGTATTTCATTTGTGCATTTAATATTGGCTACAGACCTTTTCAGATGGCAGTCAGCGACAATTTACGCACAGTATGGGGAGAAAATTTGCACAGTGAGCAGTGGTTAAAATAGGGTTGTCTGAATGAGGTGGGCCTTTTGGAGGGCTAAAAGTTTTCAATTGAAAACTTAAGAATTAGTGGCAGCCAAATAAGTGCTGGTGTACAGATTCATTAATAATATATATTAATTTAGCTTTGAAGTGTATCCTTGCTGGCTTTGCTCACTTTCTTTTAATGGATTTTTGTACTGGGCAGTGATACATTCCACAGCCATGAATTAATGCAAAGAACATCTTCTAATATAAGCTGTTGGAGATCTATAGGGCAAATTGTCAGTGAGCTTATCTCAGGCACTGGGCTACATTTGTTTAACACCCAAAGGGCAGGACTCCCTTGTAGTTTGTTTAGTCTGCAAGCAAACAGATAGCAAGCTCCCTCTGAATGATGATTAACTCATTTAATACTACTGCACATTACTTTTTCAGATGGCTAAACCCATGGCTATAACCCACCACCCAGTGATATAGAAGCAAGTTGCCTAAATATGTCAAGTAACCTAACCAACCCTTTTTCCTGCAATGCCACTTGACTTTTAATATAATTTATTCTTATTCAGTTTAGCAATACACCCACTCTAACATAGTCCAATTTAGCCAATATATGAGTTCATTCTATGGCACTCACCTATAATAAAAAAAAACCCAGTTTGCACTTTTGGTGTGTTCTGCTTTTTAGCACATTGTTTACAGTCAGTTTTTTTGTTCTTGTTTTCCCAGAGGCTATGACCCCAATTGAACATGCCTGTAACCTTGTCTGAATTCTGTTGGTTTGACTTTAAAAGGCGTAACCATTTCCAATTACATTCAAGCTGACCTTTGTGACACAAGAGCAAATCCTGACAGTGCAAACTCCTATACTCTGTACGTAACATATTGAAGAATATCAGTGCATCAAAAAAGAATTGTTTTACTTTGTACAAAATAGATAAAGAAATAAATAGATGCCTACATAAATAAAATATCAACGTAAAAAATCTGAAACTTACATGAAAGCTCACCATTATAACCTTATATGTTTCAATACAGACAGCATGCTGTCATATTATGTAATTAATGTAGCATACTGAAGCAAGACCTTAAAAAACATAACTTGCCAACCTGCCTCAATGCATTTAATTATCTAGTTTTGCCTTTCAAGATTGTGCAGGGGAAAAACAACAGAACAAAGAACAAACTGTGGTACTGTGTTTTTATTGCATTAGTTATATTGCATCCTCTTTATAATCTTCTATTTAAATTGAATGTGTTTTGTTTACCATTGGCCAATGGGCTGCGACATCATATCCATCAAATCTAGCACAGTGTCTGCTTCTTAATCATAAGCGTTAATTATGTGTGTCCTCCTAGTTCAGCTTGACAAATAATAACAATTCAACACTCTTATGCCGGTCTTAGTCAATTTATGAAAAAACAAGATACTTCATGATTTGTTAAACTTACATGTGTATACACCATTGCACATTCATGTAAATTAAATGCATAATTGATGCACCCCACCTTATACTGAATGAATGTTTTTAGTGTCGCCATTGAATTGATTACATTTAATATTTTAGATACCGATACAGTCATATACGTGGCATGTTCATATTGCTAACTTTTGATTTAAATATAGCCACAATGAAAATCTGAATCTTTATTTATATAGGAGAAAAATGGTGAACTCCTCTTCAAAATTCCATGCGTATATTATTTATTTTACACCCTCGGTTTGCAAATGCACTGTAAAATTTTAGAGTATAATGGATTTTTCAATAATGGATTAGCATTTTTACTTTATATTGAAAATGAATGTGAGTTACACAAGGTCACAATACGATTGTATTTGTATTCTATTATCATATTATAATTGAGAATATACCATGCAGGGAGGCAAGTCAATTTACATTGTGACGTATGGCAGCAATTAAACGGGCAGTGTTCATATTCAACGCCCTAAATAACATGTGCCAGGACATTTGTACGTATAAGTAACTCACATCGGCAAAAAGGTCGCTGAACAATTTCCAACAGGACAATGCTTAATGATATGCAACCCAGAAAATGATCTCTGCCCGATAAAATATGGGTGATGCGGAGTACGACACTCACTGTCTGTCGCCCTGCATAATAACATGGGACACTTAAATAAATTAGGATTTCTATATAATCTTCAGGCAGAGAGAAAATATTTGGCTGTACCCTTTTGCCCTCGTACCAAGTGCTGTCTTTGTAAAATATTGATTGGAATTCTATTAAAACATTTCGTACCAACACTAAACTGAAATGTGATTCAGAGCATTTAAAAGTATTGGCATTTTTGAAATGTGCGTGCACATACCCTTGCCATTGGGTCAATATAAATGCTTAGGTGCAAATCTGCCATGAGACCCTTGGTGGCTTATAGTTAGGGAGTCAATTATTGTTTTTTTTTTACAATGTGAAGATTGTATACAGAGTGTCATACTTTCTTGCGTTGTGTTTTTTGTAGAAATGTTTTTTTAAATAAATGTATGAAAACTATAACTAAAACTATCACGTGATAATGTATCAGCTTTGGTAATTTTTTTTCACGAGAAATGGGCCTTCATGAGGTTACAACGTCAAAAACATTTCATTTTTATATTTGGATAGTAATTAGCGACACGTTTATGAAAGGGCAATGATTTGAATGCTTAGAATAAAAAATAAGGCCCTACATTTGCAAGTACATCTATGTTCTGATGAATAACTTACCAAAAATAATAAAAACAAACCCACAGTATTTTTCCCCCTTGCTAAACAGTGACATATGACAATGAGATAATAGTTATTTGTCTTCACCATTACCATCACGGGTCTCCATTTGCAGGTATTGCCTGGGTTTGTTGGCGAACAATAATTATCCATATCTTCCGATACTTTTTATTGTCCTGTGCACTCTTCTATCGCGTGGTTTCCGTGACACACACCGACTTTACACCTCTTGCTTGGCCTTCCTCTTGCTCTTCTTCCCTCCATCCTTAACTTAAAGAACCACCTCGAAAATCGGTTTTCCTCCATCTGCCTCATGTTGCCATGCCATGGCAGAATTGTTCATTGTTGTGTTTGCTCATTACACTATTTGCCTCTCATCCTTCAAACATATATTTCAGTTACTCGTATCCTATTCTCTTTGCATTACAGAATGCGTTGGTATGGGCATTTTGTTTTGCATAAGACCTCCACTGCCACTTCACTTATCCTGCAACATTGCCTTGAGACTTTGACAGAAGTCACCTGCTTTCTGCAACACAATTCGTATGAATTTCTCTTCATAGTTTTCCATCCTTTGTAACCGTGCACGCCAAATGTTTAACATGTGGCTAAAAACGAGCAGGTTAATATAGAACAACTGTCAGCAAATAATCACGACAGTGTAATCATATATCGGTTGCTCTCTCTCTTCCAGTCTTGTTCGGAGATGTGTGCGGGAATCCCGGAGTGCCACCCAAAGCAATACTGCACGGCTCAAGCTTCAACATTGGTGACCGGGTCCACTACAGCTGCGTCGCTGGCCACATTCTGGAAGGACAACGTGCCCTCACCTGTACCTCAAATCCAGGGCGAGGAGCCTCGTGGGACCTCCCTGTTCCCGTGTGCAGAGGTGGGACCTTCAAAAGTCAAAGGCGTCCTCAATAGTGTTAATTATTATTATTTTGTTCTCTTTCTCAATTTTTTTTTCAATTTTGCTGTTGGTATCATTTAGCAGGGACACAGAATCGATTCAGAAATCCTTGCAGAGCGTTGCGACCCCGCGGGTGTTCGAGATTGATCCGCAGAAACATTTTCGCACAGAACTTCTGAAATGTCTTCACGTGATCGTATTTATCCTTTGAGGGGGCTGAACCCGAAGACTTGGTTGTGAGCCATGGCTAACATGAGTGGAGAGTGTTATCACCAACCTGCACTAACCAGCCCAACGAGTATGGTCAACAGCCCCTATGACTGGCGTGGTGTCGGTTAACTATTCCTCTAGCATTGGATTTACAGATACCTGTAAATTATATTATTTTACAATACTGCAAATGTTTGTCGTATGGCAATGAAACCAATATTTTTCATTCATAGAGCTGAAATTTAGCTAAACTATGTAATTAAAAAAATAATGTAATGTTTTTTTTCTGCAGTTGTTTGTGACCAGGCTGAAACCATCAACTTGCTGTACTTTAGAATCTAGTTTTAGGCATGAGCAGATACGGACATTAAATCCTGGATATGACCAGTTCTGGCAGAATACTCTGAGCCCTGAGCCACCCAGACACGCCCACTCTTAAAACAGTAGCTTAAATTACGGCGTTAGTATTTTGAACGGCATTTTTCACACAAGCCACTACTCGAAATCACAACTTGATGCGATACCAACCCTTTGTGGAAATATTTTTTCGTGGATACCTGCCGCAATTGTTGGCTCCACCTTCACGAACTGTGACATGAGTAGTGGCGGAAATGGAATTTTTTATGTTTTGAATCAGCCACATTGTAATCGCAAATTTGTGGAATTATTTTTTTCCAAATCATTATTTAGATTACATGCTGAATCACCATCTTTCCAACAACAAGTGGTGGAATCTTCTTGGTTCTTTCGGTAAAGTCACGTAGAAGGGAAATCATTAAATAATTAGAATTAAACATAATAAAATACAATTCTCACGACGTTTCGGCCACAACGCAAGCAGCCGTCCTCAGGTGAAGAACAGGGCTGTCGGAAAGACAGTGGTGGAATGATGTCCAATTAGCTACAATAAATTGGGCTTTTGTCTTTTTGTGATTTATTTGCAAACTTAACAAATTTGATGTTGGAGAAAAATAATGTTTTGTCACTTAGGTTCTGATTGAATGGTGCATATATTTAATTTCAATAGGTTCGTGGGTATAATTTTAGTTAACATCTATGTTGTAAAAAGTACTGGTGCGGAAAATGCATTTGTTAGTCTTATGAGCTCATATTTGAAAATACTTAATGTATATTAATATTAGAACTTTGCAAAACAATGAAATAATTTTAATTAAAGTCATTAAATGGTGCACACATATTGATAGACATATATCGTATAAAATTAGTTGCCAACTTATATACGTGTCAACATTACTAGGAAATCCATAATCTGAATAATTATTAGCTGACAGTAGTGTATTCTCCAAAGGTATACAGAAATGATAGAACTCTTCCTTGTTATTTTCAGCCCGAGAGTCTTGTGGTGGCACAATGCGTGGACCTGGAGGGATGATATCCAGTCCCAACTTCCCGTCGGAGTACGACAATGATGCGGACTGCACGTGGATCGTGCTGGCTGAGCAGGGGGATACAATCTCCCTGGTCTTCACCGACTTCCAGCTGGAAGATCAGTATGACCTTCTGGAGGTGGAGGGAGCCGACCCTCACTCTATCTGGTGAGATTCCAAATTACCTACACCCTGGGCTGTTTGAGCATTAGAAGCCGCACACTAATTACGTCTAACTTTGAATATGGTGCGGCATATCTAACGGGCAATGGAACAGGGGCGGTTTCTTCATTAGGGCGATTGGGCGACGCACCACCAAAGTGTGAAAGGGACTTTTTCAATCACATTCAAAATCTCATTCAACCACAGAGTTGGATTGTAATAATAGTGAGTATAGAAATAAACAACAAACAAGGAAATGTATTGTAAGAGTCACTTTATTTTTCATTAATATTAAAGTAGTGAAGTTGCCTTTACATGCTTAAGCTGTTAATTTATCCATTGCATGGGTGGACCTTATCCTTATCAATCATCCAGACATTTCCCCCCCCTGAGAGATTTTGCAGGAGCCGCCACTGCAATGGAAGATAATATAAATATTGTCATTTGGGGTTGGAGTGGTTGTGTGGTGGTAAGTACACTGCACTATGAGCTTAATGAATTGAGTTTGATTCCTGGCAATGGCTAATGTCAGCAGTAAATTATATCTGAGCTTCTCCCCAAAATCTGTCATCAACCAGCATCGACTAGTACGGTGAAGTATCGTAAATAAACTCCCATGACCAACACGCCAAGATGTCTTTTGCAAGAAATGTTCTGCCTTTGGTTATGAGTCTGATAATAGTAGCATTTCTCAACTTTGCAGAATATCTTACACTGCAACTTTCTCACTCTGATAATTAATTTTCCAACTTAATTGTGCATATTGATCTCACTTCTTCTGATACTTTAACTTAAATTCATGTTTTTTTGTCACATTGTATAGACAGTTCAAATCTGCAAATGATGAGAAACCCCATTACAAAGATCTGCATTGCATGTACTGAAGCTCTCAGTCTTGTACATTCTGCAAAACCACCATTGCAGAATAACTTTATTGTGGTCATTTTATATAAGCCCACTATCAATAAATAGAGACATTGTGGACAACTGACAGGCAGAAGTCTGAGAGCTTCTGTACATGCAATGCACATTTTTCTGTGTTGTTAAATGTATTTTTGTATCGACTACCGTAACTTTGTTGTTCATGTCCTCCCTAAATCCGTTGCTGCAAAACTCCAGATAATACTAATGCCAGACCTCTGCCTTTAAAAAATGCTGCTGCCAGAATTCTGGCTTGAACCCACAGTTCATATATCGACACTTCTCAAACCCTTTGCTTGCTCCTACATGGATTTGCAACCAGTTACAATATTGTACTCGCTGTTTTAAGATCATGAATGCTCTTGCTTTGGCTTACCTCTGAATTGTCATCTCACTCTACTCTCTGCAGTCTGGACCTCTTGGTGAAATATAATATAATTCTCCAAACCCTGGGAAGTTACACCTCTGCTGCCCCTGTCGTTTGGAAGTTCTCTCCCCCTGGTTGTCTGCACTGCTAATTTCTTCCACCTCTATGTCCAGACTTGACTCCTTCTCTCTTCTGCCATTGGCTAGTTACTTTTCAAATCACATCTTCTCTATACTCGTTGCTCTTTCACCTTCATGCTAATCATCACCCATCCCTGATATTTCCCAATAGTAATTCCACATCACATTACAATTCACCATTAGCGTGGGGTCACGTTGGTTGTGACTAATCTTGTGTGACGTATGGCAACGTTGCCCAATCTTCCTATAACCTATGTTGGCAGCTACTGCATTCATAAATGATTTCAGTATAAGATGCCACGTACTTTAAAATCAATTAATGAAAACATACACGACAATAAAGTTACACATCATGTATGGACTCTATCAGACTTTAAACATCAAATGTTAAACGATTCATTGCATGTGCTTGTATTTTTACATATATGTGCATTCTAAAGTTAATCCCGAGAGGTACTTTAGTGGTTAGAATGCGTGGCTCCCAATGAGACGAATATGAGCTCATATCACAGTCGGGTGTCCACTCACCCCTTCATCCCTGTGGGTTAATATCATGGCTACCACTTTGCGTCGAGTCCATAATGGGTCTCCTGTGGGGTTATAGGCTCCTGTCAAAGGAATGCAGCATTTCCCACACAAGCTCTGGGCTGTAAATGGGATGTGAACACTTGTACACACTGTTTGAGCAGGAAAATGAACTTGAGGCGGATGTTACAGGAAAGTATTTATATATTCAAAGCTTAAGACAGATGCTGTTGTGTTTATTTATTTACCGATTCGTACCACTTGTGGCTGCAGAACCCACTGTCATGCCCACTGCAGACAAGCTGTTCAGGCTCTTGCCCCACGTTAACTCAATCTGAAGTAGACATTTTTACCCTTAACCCGCTGAGACAATACAAAAAAACAACAACTTCCCAGAAGAACTTTTGAAGTATGCCGTTGCTCAATCTCTTCTTTATCCCCTTAACTTACCTTAACACATCACCTTAACATATCAGGGAAGGAAATAAACTCTGAATTCTGAGAAGCAAGCATGTTATGGCATGTTTCTTAAAGAGACTGGTATGTTACATGCCACTGCAATTTATATTACTCATCATCAAACCAGGTGCAATTGCACATTTAAATAAAATCTTAGTACTATTCCTTATGGTATATCACTGAGATTAAATGGTGCCATTATCTTCATTTCACAATGTCACTGTGAAATTAATTTCCCACGTGGCTTTCCTGCACGGCTATGGAGTATATTCGCAAAATAGAAATATACATCAAGGAATTTAAAACAAATCTATTAGGCTCTATAGTTACTTTTTCTTTTACTTCTGGGTTATTTATCCAGGAGCTGTGTACTCATTAGCTTGATATAAATATGGATTTAATGTTGTTTCTCTCTTCAATAAACCCGTTGTGAATAGCATGTCATTCCCTTGTTACATTTTGTGTCACCAGAATGACAAAGTGCAAATTAAATCATAGCTGCATAGAATTATAAATCTTTAAGGTTTATTATGGACATCACTGTATGCAAATATGCACAGGATATAGAAATGTTCAACTTTGATACATTAATCTTTTGCACTTGCTTTACATTGGAATTACTTTTGGATACAAATGTTTAATTAAATTAGCAATGCATTAGTTTAGATGAGTAATATTTGCAATGCGCTTATATTACAATAGCATTTTATATATGCTTGTACATTTTTGATCATTAGGTACAATTTATTCAACACAGAGTATCTGTAAAATAAATGAAGGCGAGTGGCTCTAATATTAATTAGTATATTAACTTCAACACTTAAGGATATGGTACATTACCACTTACTCTCAATCGTTAATTCCACAACACGTTGAATGTCACTTTTATTCTTCAATCTTGAGACTCATGTGGGGCAACGTGTCCTCCTTCTTTGAGGGTGGGGGGGAGGACTCTGACTTAACGGCAGGTGCTTGGGGCTGACACTTCTTACACCCTCCGCCTTCTTTCAGCTCCTGCAACATCCCGATCCTCGGCAATTTATTTATGTTCTCTTCCGTTCCATTATTGCGTCTGTAATCCTTTGAAATTTAGGCTTTTGGATTTGTGAGGGATTCGATGACAACCATTAATTTCAAGTTTATCAAAGGCCACGCACATTCGCTTGTTATTGCATGTATATCAATTGTTTACAAAATAAATTTTTAACCATATTATGAATAGATAAGAGATGGACTGATGTGGTACGTAAGGATGTGGAGCTGAGTGGACTTGCCCATAACTGGTACCAGCAGTCTCATGATTAGCCTCTGTGGAGGAGGTTCGTGACTGACGCTGCTGGGGAGTTGGAGGCAGTCGCCCTCCAGCAACAACAGAGGACAGAGGAGCGACGCTCACAAAAACGAGCGGAGCGCTGGGCACCTAAAACGCAGATAGTTGGCACGGTGGAAAGCACAGTTGGTACATCTGCCAATCATCTCAGTCAGTCGACTCCATGGTTCCTGGGTCTCTTCCGTGACCTCCTGCCAGCAAGCCTTCGACACTTAACGTGGCCTCAGAGTGCACTTTGAGTATTTGGCTGTGGTAAATGTCCACACGATAAGCCACGACATTGAGCTATCATTTGTGGCTAGGTCGCTTCTGAAAAATAGCACATATAGTTCAGTAGGCCTTACCTGGTAAAATAAATAAATAATAGTGCTGAATGCTGGTTGTTGTGATGTGTACTGCATGCACATATATAAGGTCCACTTTAACGGTCTACATTTTCCAATGGATGCTTGTACAATGTTAATATTTAAGGAATTAGTGGTTCCACTAAATCTATTGGTCATCAAAGAAGGTAGCACAATCTTGATTTGAGGTAGCACAGTTAAAGCAATGAGATTTATAGACTTTCATGAGACGTAAATAGCGCTGAATTTATTGAACTCCAATGAATAAATGTAATCATAAAATGCTCAAAACACCTTCACATGTATTCATGCATTTATGCAAGTACCTTTGCAGTGACAAATTATCTGCATATAAACAAAGTGAGCGTGTATAATTATAATAACATGTTGTCTTTCAAGAATCACACCACAGTAAACATTAGCAAAACAGTTCCCCTGGGCTGAAATCTGTTTCAACATTGCAAGTCCTGTGGGAGGTCGATCACCACTTATTTAGCATTAAAAGATAAATTAGCCATTTGGTAATATTATATTAACAATTTAGATTTAAAGCTTTCGTGACTGCAGGGTTTCATCTTCTTGGTTCTTTCGGTAAAGTAACGTAGAATGGAAATAATAAAATAATAAAAATAAAACATAATAAAATAATTCTCACGACGTTTCAGCCACAACGCAAGCAGCCGTCCTCAGGTGAAGAATAGGTCTGTCGAGAATATAGAGTCTGAATGACGTTGTGGCCGAAACGTCGTGAGAATTATTTTATTATGTTTTATTTTTATTATTTTATTATTTCCATTCTATGTGACTTTACCGACAGAACCAAGAAGATATATTAACAATGTGCATAACAAGTACACGGCTTTTAGAAAGTGAGATATTTAGTTTTACCTATACTGAATCGAAGATATACTCTCATCTGA